GAATATTTGGTTGCACTCTATGGAATCAGCTCTGCAGGGGTCTTTTTTCACAGGTTGAAGTTTTGCAAGATTGATAACTTTATGAAGTTATTGTAGTTTATTGTTTCTGGGATGTGATTTTTCATTATCTATGTTCACTTGGACAGGAATAAAAGGTATGAAGTGGGGGTAAAGCTTCTGTTATTGATAGAATGATTGACATTTTTATAAGGCTGAAAGAGCAGCAGTTTTTTTTTCAAAAGAGATTTTTGAATGGGTTTCCTTTTTACCAGCATTGTGAAGAATTTTCATTATTATTATGTAGTTTATAGGTTTCGTACATAGCACATGTACAGTGAATGGAAATTGAGATGCAGGAAGCATTAAAGAGGTATGGGATAATGGAAGGCACATGGAAAGAGCATGGGAAATATAATTTTTAAAATGTATTCTTTCATAGGATGTAGACATCGCTAACAAGGCCAGAATTTGATGGCCATTTATAATTTCCTGTTGACTGAGTGCCTGGCTAGCTCATTTCAGAGGGCAGTTAAGAGTCAGTCACATTGCTGTCGTCTGCAGTCACATGTAGACCACATCAGGCAAGGATGGCAGATATCCCTCCCTAAAGGACAATATTGAACCAGACTGGGTCTCTGTGACAATCAATGATTGTTTCATGGTTTCACTATTGAGACAGTAAGGTGCCATGAACCATGTCTCCTACCAGAATGGTTTTGATACCAAAAGAATAGTGGTATATTAGAAATGCCCATTTTTGCAATGGTATAGTCTAAGGTGGGATTGCGGAGTGTGGGCTCACTATCCACAGTCTTATGCTGACATCGTAAATATCAGGCACTCTGGGAATGGGGTGGGAACTCTGTAATTGGATGCTGCCTAACCTTTTTGACTGCCACAATCCATTTTGACACGAATGTAGACCTAAAGATCTGGCTACAGAGTCTAAAGCAGGAAGTGTAAGTTAAAAAAAATCTAAAATCATATAGATAAAACAGAATTAAAGAGAAAGGAAGAAATGTGTAAGTGCAAGAAAGATAAAAGAGACAGAAAGAAAATGTTACAAACAGGTTGTTCATATTTGAATGGATATTTGGTGGGTAACTTTATGGTGTTACATATTTGTGCATACCAATTTTCTCACTAGCATATTGGTGCAACAAAGTATGCTCAAGAGCAAAGTAACTCAGGTAGCAACTTCCTGCTTTTTGGTTTAACTGCACATACTTAAATGCTTTACGTTGCTGCCTGATTTACTCATTCATAACAGTGAATGCTAGTGGATACACTGTTACATGCACCACAAAGATGTGGTCCAATATATTTAGTTATTTCCAGTGTCTAAAAGTTTCTATTTTCATAAGAAGCTTACAAGACGAAGTGAACATAAACTTGGCAATGTGATAATGGGGCTCCCTGGGCAGGTACTGGGGATATCAAAAAGGAAGGCCACCCTCAAAGCCAGCCAAGTGGAAAGAAGTGAGAAAGACCTGGTGTATCACTTTGTTGACCCTGCTCATTGTCAATCAATGCTCGATAAACAGTGATGGCCTATCCACGGCTGACAATGTCACAAACTCAGTAAGAATTGGCCTTTCTTGGCTTCTCGTCTCTGCTCCTGTCATTCTGGCTGTTTTCAGCATTTTTGTTTTTGTTTCAAGTGATTAAAAAGCTCAGTGTAATCTCCTGCCAGCAGGTGCTAAATAAGACAGAACAGAGAATTACAGAAAACTTCGGTAAGAATATTTAATAGAACACTGGAGACTGTAAGCCATGACAGAGTGATGCCTTGCAGGGAGGATAGATTAGGAAACTATGGCTGTGATAGACAGACTTTTTGAGATTTTAGAAGTGCAATACTGTTGTGGAACATAGATTATTGCTACACTATTTGGGAACATAGGAATAGGAGGGGGCTATTCAGCCCATTGAACCTGCCCTACTATTTTGTACAGTCATGGTGGATTGAACACTTCAATGCTTTACCCCCAAAACCCTGTACACTGTTGGTAATCAGAAATTATTCAATTTCTACTTTAAACATCATCAAGGACTGAGCTTCCACAGGCTTCTGTGCTAGAGTATGCTAAAAGTTCGCAACCTTCTGAATAAACGTTTTTCTCCTTAGCTTGGACCTAAGTGGCATTGCCCCTATTTTTAAACTGTGTCCATTAGTTCTTGACTCTCAGAACAGGAGAAACATCTTACTTGCATCTGCCCTTTCTATCCCTTTAAGTATTTTGTAAGTTTCAATGAGATAACCTGACCAAGATCAAGAGGAATTTTCCCTGAGGCATATTTCTGAGAAAACATGAAAACAGAGCATCAGAAATACTCTGGAGTATAAAGCATTTTGAAGTATTTTAATTGCTACAATGTCACAAAATTTTACGATTGGATCAAATTTCACATTCATTAAAATGCAACATTTAGAAAACAGTTGTTTCACATTCCTTCCTGAAAAGACAAACTCACAAATTCCATGTTTTGAACCACATCAAGTCAGTTTAAGAATCAATTTCTTCTGAGCTGCGGGCATAGTTCTTCTCACCATTACCTGCCTGCCTCCCCATTTACTTATATTGTACCCTCTCACTTTAGCCTGTCATTCCAACCCAAACTTGATAGAAGGGAATATCAAACAGGATCATAGTGGTAATTGAACTGACAGTTGTGTGTGTAAGCCTCAACAGCAGAGGCTTTGTCAACCTAGCCAGTTAAAGAACCAATGTAGGGCCATTTCCCTGGGCTGCTGGCAATCACATGGCTTTTCTTCAGTCTCTTGCAGGGGCAGGGGTGGGGTGAGGGTCCAGCAGTACTGAAGCCTCCATGGCCCAGGTGAAGGGGACTCCATTCTTAAACGCCGCTCTTGTGGTCCTACACTCACAGCTGATGGGATTATTCCTCTGATCACCAGTGCCTACCAGACAGAGAAAAAACATTCCAACTGCTTATGAAGGCACCTAAAAATGGAGATGCACTTTTTCTTGCAGCCTCAGCAGCGTCAACCTTCTTGGGTGATGCAGTCTAGGCTGTAGAGCTATCAGCTTTCTGAGAGAGCTATCTCACTGCCCTTAATTGGACAGCAGGCCCAAGTGTACCAATTAATAGTACCACCAGGAAGGATGATCCAGAATTCAGGGCCTACCCTGTTCAGGATACTTCATGAGATCCCCTTGAATCCTTTGCATCTGTTTACTTTTAATTTTGTCAGCGAGTTTGTCACATCTATATATATATTATAGTATTCTACTTGTCAATATAGAACACTTTTATTCTCTTTGCACTATCTTCTCTGTTAAAAGTACTTACAGAATTACTTCACATCCATATTACCTAGTGGCCAATGACTAATATTTCTTTAAAAGTGCTTCCATGTTTTATTGTTACATTTTTACCAACAAAGTGTTAACTTGCTGTTCAAATCCCACAGGCTGCAGAATTTTCTACCTGTCATTCAATACAATTGCAATGGTTCATAGCAGTCCATCAAGGCTCTGGTGGACATTCTTTCTATATTGCCCACAACCCAAAGTCGCTGTACCTTTTGCTGCTGCTCTCTGTTGTGTTGCATGCACTGTGCAAATCATTGAGCAAAATGCTCCATTATAACATTAACCATACGCTCTAGTAGAAGGAATAGGTAAGAACTCGGTCATTGTGGCTCATGAAGCAAATTTGGAGAACATTCAAAGTTTGAGACCTCACTATTTTTTGTATCCATGGTATTGAATAGTTTTCCAATTCTGTATTTGTTGAAAATTGTTCCAGTGTGCACCAATAAATAAGTTCTTACATTGTGATGTTAGCATCAGAGAAATACCATACACTATTCATAATTCCAAGCATAGCCATTCACCTTGACTTAAATTTAATGAGCTCAATCGGCAAATTGTATTTATATATACAGTACCATCAACACTGACAGCCACTTAATGATTGTTAACCTCATCTATCAGTATGGGGCAGGTCAGAGATTATGTTCAGAAAACAAGGCAGGAATTTTATATAGAAATAGTGGCCCCACTCACCAGCTTGTGAGCAAGGTGCAAGCCAGTATCTATTGGTCGAGGAAGTCACTACCAGATTTTACAGTTGATTTGCCCAAGGTTATTGCATCCACTCCCATATGGGCAATTAGAAGGCTGGAGGGGGAGAGGAACAAAGGGAGTGTCACCCTTGCCACTTGGGAGGTGGGGAGTCTTTCCTGGGGCACAGAGTGACCAAACAGAAGGCACTCATCACCGCTGGCCGCCCTCCCCTCCACTCAATCTGCTGCCAGGGTATACCTGGCAACTTCACCACATGGCATGAGCACATCTATCATATCCCTCTGCCACTGTAAAAATACTACAAGCAGCAAGAGGGGTGTATTAAGTGACTATTAAATGACCAAAGATGGGTGGACCACAGAACATGTACCTCCCATGGGTAAAATATTAGCAGAGGTGGGTAGGGCACATCATCCTGCCAATGGCACCTGATTTAAGCCCCCACTACCTGCCTATCTATTCCCAGTAGGGAGGAAAGAGGGGGGACTGACGAAAATTTCTGGCTCAAAAATGGAATTGGGAAGGAATCAATTCTGGGAGAAGAGCTTGCCAAGTCTTGTACCTATTTGATTTGTAGAACCTTAAGACAACTTCTGAATTCCTCAGAAGTATTATTGTAGTTCGATTGTTACGTCAGAAAGACATTTTTAAAAGGATGATGAAGAATCATTAACTGGTTGGATGTGCTTATCTAAGATAGATAGATGCCTAAAGACCAGAAATAAATAGCTAAGCATTATGCCGAAACAATAGAAGCCATCTTATTAAATGAAAAATACACACAGGTTATTTATTCTTTTTTTTGTAGCAGTTAATTTTTTTGTTGACCAGAAATATGCTAAAATATAATTGTCATTAGTTAAACATACATACTAGAATTTATCTTTAAGTTTCATCTTATTTTACAATGCAAACAAAAATACCTTTCAATGTTAGCATCAGTGCTTCTCCTGTTGCATGTTGGAGTTACATTTGAATTGTCTTGCATCTTTTTTGGTGCTGTATAATACTTGTACTTCAAAAGGAATGATGTTGCTCTATTCTTCAATATTCTTGGAGTGAAAGCCTGTCTTTCTTCTGTAAACCATTTGGAATGTTTATCAAGGAGGTCTCCACTAAATGTTTTCTTTTGAGGATCTTGAAAAGGTCTCTTGATCAGGTTCTTGTTCCTGAACTGGATTGACCCAAAATAATAATGAATAGTCAGCATGATTGTCAAGTACATAGGAACAGGAACAGGTCATATCACCTTTGAGTCTATTCTGCCATTTGATGACATCCTGTCTAATCGTGATTTAACTGTTTAGACTTACTTATGTTCCAGAAAACTATCAATCTTAGTTTTAGAATTATCAATTGATCTTGAATCAATTGCTTTTTGCAAAACAGATATCAAAATATCCTGCAATTCCGGTGGATAGTAATAAAATATGGACAGTTCATTTTGGAATTACATCATATGATTTTAATATCTGATTTGAAATGGTTTTAAAAGGGAAAAGCACTGATGGCCACAACAATTAGCTGAACTTATAGGTTAACCATGCTTCATGAAACAAATATAGAATAAACAACATAATCTGAACTGGAATGAACATATTATCAAAAGACACTGAAACCACACAAACCAATTTTGAGTGATATGTGATATATATAAGTTAATATATTATAATTAATAATACATATTAAAATATAAACATATTAAATACAAAGAAATAATTTTTACAGTTTAGATTTTAAAGTAGCGGCATATGCGGATGATTACTTTGCCAAAGTGTTTACAAAAGTATCTAGGTGAGACAGTCCTTCCAGAACAGTGACTTAATTCAGTGAGTATGAGGAAGTAGGCACTCCCTGGGCTACTAATGCAGAATTGCTTTTACTGCAATGGTTTATATCAGGGAGTGCAAACATTGAAGGCACTTAGCTTTCAACACTTAAGGGTGGATTTTAGCTTAGAAAATCCCTCAGAAAAATTGTAGGTAGTATTTGGGGAGACCTGACTTGGGTGAGATGCAAGTATAGTCTTCCTCCTATAATTGAGTATAGGACAGCTCAGGGAAAGCCCAGTTACCTGAATAGAAAAGTTGAATTTGTGAAACTTCCAGACCAAGAATGTTTGGTTAGAAATCTGCAGTCTGTTGGAGAAGGTGACAGTCTATGCTCTGAGTTTTTTTTTATGTATTTGTGTAAGAAGGCTTGACAGTTCACCAGAAAGAATCAAGAAGAATCAATTAAGTTGAAGTTGTTAAGACTAAGATTGTTAAAAGGAGTCATTTCTACAGATTTGACTCGCTAATGGATAGTATCAGGAAATGAATTGAGACTTTGTTTTGCGATGTTTCATGAATATTTTGCACTATTTTCTATGTTTATATAGCTTGGTTTGTTGTTTCCCATTTGTGTAATAAATGTCTGTCCTGTTATTAAAGACACTTCGAAGCCTCATGTGACTATGTTTCAGTGACTATCATTTGGCTTTAAAAAAATCTATCAGGCCAAACTTATTCTAGTATCTCACTTCACAGTGGTACCATCAGCTGGGAATCATAACATCTTTCAGATGTGAAAAGACCCTCATCTCTTTTCATTTGCACCTGTGTAATAAGTTTAACATACTGGAGATGAAAGACAGCATGTGCAATTTTCAAGCTTGAAAATAACAAACTCAGATACTAAACTACACAAACCAGCTTATATTTCAGGGAACCAGTTTTGGCAGAGCAGGAAGATAGATTTTTGACTGGCAAAGTGGAAGCAACTGGAGAACCATCTTTCACTGGGCTTCTGAAGGAAAAGTGTGCAATGATAGCACTGATTTTAAAACATCAGAACACCGAGAGCTCAAAGGACAACTGAAATATTGACTTCTGCTGATTATTATTAAATTGGAGAGGGTGCAGAAAAGATTTACAAGGATGTTACCAGGACTGGAGGGTTTGAGTTATAAGGGAAGGCTGCATAAGTCGGAACATTTTTCATTGGAGTGCTTGAGTTGAGGGGTTGATCTTGTAGAGTTTTATAAAGTCATGAGAGGCATAGATAAATTGAATAGCAGAATTCTTTCCCTGGGGTTGGGGAGTTCAAAACTAGAGGGCATAATTTTAAGGCGAGAGGAGAAAAATTTAAAAGGAACAGCGAGGCAACCTTTCCACACAGAGGGTGGTTCGTATGTGAAATGACCTACCGGAGGAAGTGGTGGATACAGGTAGAGTTACAACATTTAAAAGGAATTTGGACGGGTACATGAATAGGAATGGTTTAGAGGAATATGGGCCAAATGCAGGCAAATGGGACTAGTTTAGTTTGGGAAACTCGGTCAGCATGGACAAGTTGGATCAAAGGCTCTGTTTCTGTGCTGTATGATTTACATGACTCTATCAAAGTGGGTGGTGTTTAAGGTGTTCTTCGGCATTAATGTTCAGAACCTTATAATACAGTATAATTTAGGTGCTAATGAGGTGAAGAGGTGGCTGTGACAGGGGTTGAAGTTGGAAAACTAGATTCCCTTTTGTTCACCATAAGATACTATCTTGTGAAAGGAGTTAAAACTTGTATTAAGAACAGTTGCCCAGAGGATCATTACGGGATTGATTGACAGTTAAATTGCCTGGTCGCAGTCAATAAAGAGACTGCAAGCCGCCTATGTGGGTGATGCTTTATTTTTAGGCTAGATGATAGGGAGTAAACAAATGTTCACTGAGAAGTTTGAATGCCACATTGAAGGTACGTTAATTTTTACATTTCACTGGCTGCTGAGAATTTGAAATGAATCAAGTGACTTTCTGGATCATGTGGTCAAGACTTCAACAACTCTTTATTGACTTTTATTCTTGAAATTCTCAAAATTCCACCTAAGAATAGTAAGCAGTTATTAGGAGAAAGGGAGTATTTACTCATCAACACCATAGGTGACACTCTTGGTTTGCAAGACGAAGGGAGGAGGAAAGAAGTCTTGGGAAGTAGCACCAGCTGTTACAGGAGTGAGGGATGGGAGGCACAGAAGGACGAGGTGAATTGCTTCCTGCTTTCCTCCCCTGTGGGTACATGACATCTCTCCTCCTCTGGACCTACTCCACCAGGACCTGCAGGACAGTGTCCAAGAATCTGTGTGGTCTTCTTATATGATCCCTGTCCTGTCCAGAGATGAGCTGCTGCACATCAGCCAGCACGTTCTATACTTTGGTGGGAATATGTTTGTGAAGCTCCCATATACTGCTCCACAAAAATTGCGTCTCATCAATACTTCGGTGTTAAACTGCAGATGCCCCCGATATAGTGCCTCCAGGCAACTCGAATTAGCAATTCAGACTGAAGTTGCATACTAAAACCAGATATTCAAACAGATATTCATTATTACCATTGCACCATTTTGCATCTGTTTTCACCCTTTCACTGACATAGGCTCTTTTCCATCTTGGTCATTTCCTGTTATCTATTTTTAAAAATTCTTGCATGGGATGTGGGCTTCGCTGGTAAGGTCCGCATTCTCTGACTTATAGCTGAGTCACAGCAATCCACCTGGTGAAGGTATACAAACAGTGCTACCAGGGGTTTAATCCTGCAACAGTGATGGAATAGCAATGTAATTCCAAGTCTGGGTGGTGTGTGACAGCAGGGGAACTTGTATGTGGTGGTGTTCTCATGCATCTGCTGTCCTTGAGCTGGTAGATGTCATAGGTTTACAATGTACCGTTAAAGAAGCCTTGCTGAGTTGCTGCAATGCATCTTGTATATACATGGGCTGCTTTGTCCTGGATCATGTCACGTTTTTTGCAAGTTGTTGAAGCTGCACACATCCAGAAAAATGGGGAGCATTCCATTAAACTCTTGATTTGCGCCTTTTAGATGATGGACTGGGAAGACAGGAGATGAATTACTTGCCTCAGAATTCCCAGCATCTTCTAGCTACAATATTTACATGGCTTGTCTTGTTTGGCTTTGGGTTAATAGTAAACCCTGCCCAAGGAAACTGATCGCAATGCCAATCAATGTCAAGGGGGTGTCATGTCAATGATAGTCATTGCCTGCTACTTGCATGCTTTGAATTTTGCTGCTGATCAGCCCATGAATGTTGTTCAGGTCTTGCCGCATACTGGCACCGACTGCATCAGTATCTGGGGAGTCGAAAATAGTACCGAACATTGTGTAATCATCAGTAAACATCAGTGATCAGATTGTTACTGTGTAAGTACCAGTCGACAGCACTGTTGACAACATATTGCATCACTCTGATGATGATTGAGAGAAGAATGATGAGGTTATATTTGATTCAAACAGATGCCCTGACTTTTATAGCAAAGGGAAATTTTCAATATATTGCAGGAAATACCAATATTGTAGCTCTACTGGAGTAACATGGCTAGAGGTTCATTGAGTTCTGGAGTACAGTGTTATTCAGTATTGTCTTCAGTATTATTGCCAGATTGTAGTCAGGGCTTTTGTAGTACATATTGTCTGCATATGTAACTTGATAAATGTGGGGTGAATTGAGTTGGCTGAAAGTTGACATTTATTCTGAGCTGCTTGGTCCATTCGAGCTCTATCTCATTTAACACAGTGGTGGTGGTGACGTATAGCCTGATGGAGGGTATGCTCAGTGTGAATACTGGACTTTGTTTTCAAAAGGACACTGTGGTGATCACTCCTACCTAATACTGTCATGAACAGATGCACCTTTGATGGGAACATTGGGGATGAGAATATCTATTACTATTTTCCCCTTTTTATGGTTCCCTTAACACCTGCTACAAATCCAATCTGGCAGATATGTCCTTCAAGACAACCATATTCCACCTCTAAGTGGTGTTCAACATAGAGGAATACTGATTCATCAGCCGAAGGGGAACAGTCAGTAGTAATCAGCAAAGAGATTTCCTTGCTTGTGTTTGTCCTGATGATATGAGATGGCAAGGTCCTCAGTTACTGATGAGACCCAGGGCAACTCCCTTGAAACTGTACACCACCGTGTTACCAACCCTTCTGTTGGGTCTGTTGTGCCTGTAGGATAGAATATAGCCAGGGATGGTGATGATGGTGTCTGGGCCATTATATGGTACAGTTTGGAAAGTATGGCTTTGTCAGGCTGTTGCCTAATTAGTTAGTGAGATGGATCTCCCAATTTTGTCACAATCCCCTGCATGCTCATTGGGAAGACATTGCAGCATTGACAGC